TTTTCCGTTATGAGATTATGAATTTTCATAAAATTCATAATCTCATAACAGAAAATTCATAATTTGATCAAACGCGCGCCGTTAACTCCACATCCGCGAATTTTTATTTTTTTTTTACCTAAAAATGACGTCGTTTTGCCTTGTGTTCACCATTCTCGGTGAACACGATTCCATGGCATAATTGATTATACTGTTAGAAATAATATATAAATATAACATTGTTGCCCAAAATCAATTATTTGGGCTAAGCCCAAATAGATAAATCATGGTGCAATAGGAAAAAAATTGGGGGTTAACCCAATAACTTTATAAATAATGACTGATTGAATCATTATTGAAGTCTTTTTAGATTAGTACCTTCGATATAGATCATCTCAATTCATTTTACTCTATTGCAAAAAATGAGGCAAATTGTTGTGTGGACCTAGAATAACAGTTACATTTTAATCATCTCAATTCATTTTGGAGCGTTATGCAATGGAATCAATGGTGAACACGGTTCCAACGGTGTTAGTACACCGTTATTTTTTTTTTTTTCTTAATTAATTGCGTGACTTTTCTTCTTCATTTTCACATTTTACGGTTTCACTTTAATTTGAGGTAAACAATGATTTTGGACATTCATAAATTATAAATTCATGCCTGCACATTCACTTTGGAACCATGCCTACACATTCCCGTCCGAAATCACGGACATTCATAAATTATGAATCCATGCTTGCACATTCACTTTGGAACCATGCCTACACATTCACTTTGGAACCATGAGATTATGAATTTTCTGTTATAAGATTATGAATTTTTAGTTATGAGATTATGAATTTTCTGTAATGAGATTATAAATTTTCTGTTATGAGATTATGAATTTTCTGTTATGAGATTATGAATTTTCTGTTACGCGATTATGAATTTTCTGTTATGAGATTATGAATTTTCTGTTACGCGATTATGAATTTTCTGTTATGAGATTATGAATTTTATGAAAATTCATAATTTGATCAACGCGCGCCGTTAACTCCACATCCGCGATTTTTTTTTTTATTTTTTTTTTATTTTTATTTTTATTATTATTATTTTTTTGCCTAAAAACGACGTCAAACGACGTCGTTTGACCTTGTGTTCACCATTCTCGGTGAACACGTTTCCAGGGCATAATTTGCCATTCATTTTACTCTATTGCAAAAAATGAGGCAAATTGTTGTGTGGACCTAGAATAAGAGTTACATTTGTAATATATTAAAAGTACATAATTTATGTATTGAAGTTATATTATTTAATAGTATATATAAAATAATGTAATTTATGTACACAAATAATGTATTTTTAATATATTAAAAATGTAATTTTTATTTATGATTCAAGGAACTGTGTGAATTATGGTCCATGTGATAATGATTGAAAAAATGAGGTAATATTTTAATTGGGACCCCTCCGGAAGGATTTTTGGAAGAAACTATTCAGGCATAAATGTCAAATGGGCCCATCTATTACTACGAAGTGCTCAATTCTTACCACGAACTAAATTAAAGTCTAATCGGCCACACTTACCAGCTAAATTTGTTTGATTGACTTTTTTGTAGGTTGCTAACCGGTTACCTATTCAATTATTAAAAAGAATATAATAAAATAAAATTAAAAAAAAAAAAAAGGAATTTCAGCCGGTGGCTGCGTATTTCATAGACAGCCGTAGCTGTCAAACATGAGGTCCAGATCTGGCAAGTGAAATATTCAGCCACCGGCTGTCCTCGCTGGACAGCCGGTGGCTAAAATTCCTTTTTTTTTAAAAAAAATTATTTTTTTAATAATGGAATAGATAACCGTTTAGCAACCTGCAAAAAAAAAAATTAATCGAACAAATTTAGTTGGTAAGTGTGACTGATTAGACTTTAATTTAGTTTGTGGTGGAAATTGAACACTTCGCAGTAGTATATGGATCTATTTGACACTTTTGATAGGAAGGCTAATTCACGTTGAGTTGTGGTGGTAAAAGGGCTGTGGTAAGAGTCTTCATTGATGAGTAAAAAGTGAGGTCAAAAAACGGATACAAAGAAGGGGAGTACTGCCTTATATACACGCACAGTACACCTAACAAACTTAACAGAAATATGAAAAGAGTGAAAAGACATCAATGCCCCTGGCCTCCAAACTGTGGTGTTGTTTGCTACTTAGCTTGTTACTTCATCACCCTCCCTTAAGCTGGAGCATGAACATCTTGAAGGCCCAGCTTAGCATGAAAAGTGGCAAAGGATAGTCTTGGCAATGCCTTAGTAAAGCCATCTGCAATCTGTTTTTGTGAAGAAATAGGAAACAGCTTCACTACTCCCTCATTAACCTTTTGCTTGACCACATGGCAATCAATTTCTATGTGTTTGGTACGCTCATGGAAAACATGGTTCTCTCCAATGGCAATGGCTTATTGATTGTCACAAAACAAAGCACTTGGACTGTTGTGGCTTATTCCAAGATCTGCCAACAAGTATAATAGCCATTGGATCTCACAAACTGAAGATGCTAAGGCTCTATATTCTGCCTCAGATGATGATCTAGAAACTGTGGCTTGTTTCTTTGTTTTCCAAGAAATTAAAGACTCTCCTAAGTAGACACAATAACCAGTAATGGACTTCCTTGTTTCCACACATGTAGCCCAATCTGAATCTGCAAATCCTTGTAATCTGAGTTGAGATTTTGCAGAATAGAAAAGTCCCTTACCAGGAGAGCCTTTCAAGTATCTTAGCACCCTATGTGCTGCAACAAGGTGTGTGTCTTTTGGCTTATCAACAAACTGGCTTAGCTGTTGTGTAGCATATGAGATATCAGGTCTAGTGCTTGTCAAATACAAAAGTTTCCCTATTAGCCTTCTGTATGTCTCAGGGTTTTCAAGCAACTTTCCCTCCAAACTGTTGAGTTTTTGTCCTGCAGTAATAGGAGTATCTGCAGGCTTAGCATCCATGAAACCATTTTCTTCCAAAATTTCCAAGGTGTATTTTCTTTGGCAAAGATTGAGACCATTGGGAGTTCTAAAAGCTTCTATTCCCAAGAAGTAATTTAATGAACCAAGATCTTTGATTTTGAAAGCTCTATCCAGAAACTGTTTAAGCTCAATAATTGACTTTGAATCAGTCCCTGCAACCAATATGTCATCTACATAGATAAGTAGGGCAATAAAGGATGTGTCTGATCCCTTGGTGAACAGAGAAGGGTCTGCAATAGACTGGTGGAAGCCATTATTCATCAAAGCTTTTGTCAACTTTGCATTCCACTGTCTACTGGCCTGTTTTAAGCCATAGAGTGACCTGACCAGCCTGCAAACTTTCTTGGGGTTATCATTCTGGAATCCAGGAGGCAAGGTCATATATACTTCCTCCTCTAGATCTCCATGCAAAAAGGCATTGTTGATGTCTAACTATTGAATGTCCCACTCATTTGCAACAGCCACAGCCAAGAAAGCTCTAATGGTAGTCATTCTAGCCACAGGAGAGAAAGTTTCAACATAATCCACTCCACACTATTGAGTATAGCCCTTTGCAACTAACCTTGCCTTATACCTTTCTATGGATCCATCTGCTTTGTGCTTGACCTTATATACCCACCTACAACCAATTGGGATCTTTCCTGGTGGCAGGTCTATTAATACCCATGTGTTGTTCTCAACTAAAGCATCTATCTCAGATTGCATAGCTGTCCTCCAGGCTTCATGTTTTACTGCTTCATTGTAAGTTTGTGGTTCACAAACAGAAGAAATAGATGCTGCACAAAGCTTGTGACTGGGAGTCAAGCCTTCATATGAAATGAATTTATTGATGGAATGAGGGGAGGTTCTGCCATGTATTTTACTTTGAGAGGTAAAATGACAATAATAATCATTTAGCCTAGTGGGGAAATTTCTTACCCTTCCTGATCTTCTAGGCTGCTGTTGATTGTTATCCTCTTCATGTGTATTTTCTTCTGGAACTATGTCACTGTTCATCTCAGGACTTTCTCCACTGTCAATACTGTATGGGGCATCATCACCACCAAAAACAATGTTAGGACTGCCTTCTTCATTAACATGATGCTCATCAATTCTATTTGTAGAATCAATAGGTGTGTTTTCTTTGTCAATAAAGGATGGGATTAAAATTGAGGGATCAATTTCTTCAGGCACAGGCTGACTTGTGTCAAGCTCTACATTCTTGTTCTTCTGTTGGAAAGGGTAGATCTGTTCATAAAATTGGACATCTCTTGACACAAAGATATCCTGATTGGAGACATCATATAACAGATAGCCTTTCACATTAGCAGGGATCCCTATAAACACACACCTTCTAGCTCTTGGATTGAATTTGCTTCTTCCTTGTGCTGTAGTAGCACCATAACATAAACAGCCAAAAGTCTTCAAATGATCATACCTTGCACTTCTGCCAAACAGTATCTCAAATGGAGCCTTTCCATCAATTGTGGGAGTAGGTAGCCTATTAATGAGATAACAGGCATGAAGAACACAGTGTCCCCAGAACTCCATAGGAACACTAGACTGGAATTGCAAGGCTCTGGCCACATTCAAGATGTGTTGATGCTTTCTCTCTGCAACTCCATTTTGTTGGGGAGTGTAGACACATGACTTTTGGTGTACAATTCCCTTTTCAGCACAGAAAGTATCCATAAAGAATTCTTTCCCATTATCTGTCCTTACAACCTTGATATTTGCAGAGAATTGGGTATGAACATAGTTATAAAAGTTCTGAAATAACATCTTAACTTCTGACTTACTACTCATTAAATGCAACCATGTAAATATGCTATGATCATCAACAATTGTCAAGAAATAATGTTCTCCTTTTAGAGAAGCAATGGCAAAAGGACCCCAGACATCCATATGGACCAAATCAAAACACTTTTCTGCCCTAGACTCACTGATAGGAAATACTGATCTTTTATGTTTGGCAAAATGGCAAGCATCACAAGCAAAAGTATGCAATCTAGGATGTTGCTCATGTTTTATTCCATTCAAATGATGTATCTTATTTATAGGGTAATACCCTAATCTATTGTGCCACAATTGTAAGGACAAATTATTACATTGAATATCAACATTCTTGTCAACATAGTGGACCTGTCTCCTGACTGGAGGTTTGCTTATCAGATATAATCCATTTTTCTCCTTAGCAAAACCAAGTGTTGTTCCATGAAAGTCCTGAATATTGCATGCATTAGTGTCCATAATGATTCTGCATTTTATCTGCTTAATTAACTTACTAGCAGAGATAATATTGAATGTGAATGATGGAATGTATAATACATTCCTCAATAAGATGTTGTGGTCCAGTCTGATTTCTCCTATATGGCTTACACTGACTGCTTCTCCATTGGGCAATTTCACAACCATCCTGCAACTCTCAAAGTACTCTGGGGAACAGGTGATGTGATCTGTTGCCCCTGAGTCCAAAATCCAAATAGTAGAAAACATAGCAGCATTAATAAGCAAGTTAGAGACAAAACTACCTTCATTAGGGCTCTCAGAGGTGTTTTTGAAAGCAGCTTTCATTCCTGAGGTATTCACTGTCACAACTGCATTGGTTGAAGATTGGCTTCCTTGACCTTGGTTCTGTATGAGGTTCATTAACCTCTGAAATTGATCAGATGATATACCTATATCACCAACTTGATTCACAGCAGAATTTGAAGATTGATATGCATCCTGATTCTGCCTGCTCTTAGCCTTGTATCCTGGGATCCATCCAGGAGGATATCCATGTTTTTTGTAACATTTCTCAACAGTATGACCAGTCATGTTACAATAAGTGCACTTAGGCACATTCTTCCCCCCACTATTATTGAATTTCTTCTTGAAATTAGAGGCTGAGACTGCCACAAGGCTTTCTTCTTCTGAAACCTGGTTCTGTCCATTCTGAACAGCATTGGACTGAACCAGTTCATTACTCTTTTGTGCAATAGATCCATTGAATTTCCTTTATGCTTTTAAGGCCATGTTAAGGACCTTTTCCATATCTGGAATTGGATCCATCACCAATACACCTGACTTTATAGATTCAAATTCATCATTAAGACCATCTAGGAACCTAATAACTTGATCATCTGCTCTCTCCTTCTGCATTTTACTTAACAAATTGCAGGTGCATCTAGGAGCACACTCACACACCAACAGAGGTCTCATAGCATTCATTTTTTCCCATAATGCACTGCATTTAGTAAAATATTCGTTCACAGTCAAGTTACCTTGCAAGTTCCTATAGATTTGATTCTGCAATTCAGCAATTCTGTGAGGATCTGCCTGCGAATATCTTTTCTTAAGAGCTTTCCAAATGTCTGCTGCTATTTCATAATATAGAACAGTTTCTGCAATACTGGAATTGAGAGACTTCAAAATCCATGAACATACGATAGTGTTGCATCTCTTCCACACTGAAAATCTCGGATCTGCTTCTCCTGGATTCGGAATAGATCCATTAGCAAAGCCAAACTTATTTTTAACTTCCAAAGTTATCTTCATTGAACGGCTCCATGATGCGTAATTATGTTCAGACAAGGGAGGAAAAACGAGAACCAGATTCGGATTGTCGGTGATGTGTAAATAGAATGGATCATCAAATTCGTCACTTCTCTGAATCGGATTGTTTCCGATCGGAACTTGATTTGCAGGAGGCGATGATGTCTGTCCGGATGCACTTCCTTCACCGGTTCCGTTGTTCATCGTCACTACTGCTGCGTAGCTATGGCGTAGCTCTGATACCATGATAGGAAGGCTAATTCACGTTGAGTTGTGGTGGTAAAAGGGCTGTGGTAAGAGTCTTCATTGATGAGTAAAAAGTGAGGTAAAAAAACTGATACAAAGAAGGGGAGTACTGCCTTATATACACACACAGTACACCTAACAAACTTAACAGAAATATGAAAAGAGTGAAAAGACATCAATGCCTCTGGCCTCCAAACTGTGGTGTTGTTTGCTGCTTAGATTGTTACTTCATCAACTTCTACTAACTATTTATTATTTAGGTTCCAGGTTTCCTCCGGCAAGCGTCCATGCAACCTCTCCCATTGCCATCCTATCTCATGGCTCCAAAAGTCTGCCACTGCTACGTATTTTGATTAGGGGGTAATACAACATGTAATTTGGAAAGGGATATAGGAAATTAGGAATATGTTGTTATAGGTGATGGCGCGTTGCAATTGAAATAAGTGTTATTTTGTGTTAACTTATTACTACAAAATAGAGATCAGACAACATCAAGTACAAACAATATTAATTGAGCTACTATATGAACACGTTATTTTATGTTACAGTATGAACTTGTTGTTATAAGTGATGGTGTATATGTTATTTTGTATTTTAATCAAAATGAATCTGTTGTTAATCTTTTGTTACAGTTTTTTGCTTCCTTTTCCTTCCGTATGGAGCACAATTTAAAAGCACAAAATCCCAAAAGCACAAAAGAAGTTGTGCAAAATATAATTCATCAAAAGCAAAATTCATATATAGACAATTGTGAATGATACATCAAAAGAAAATGGTTCTTCTAAAATTCATAACTACTACATCAAAACAAAAAACATGGTATGGACAACACTAGCATCTATATTGCTAATGAGGGTTCTTTTTACTCTTATTCTTAGACATCTACACATTTTTTCTCCTGTAGAGTTGATAGTGTCTCGTTGGGGAAGTTGTTATACGTGTTATGTAATGAAATATGATATTTGATCAGGTTCCTGATTTCTAACAGGCTGACTTGGTTGAGAATTCATCAAGTCTTGCACAATTTTTTATTTTCTAGTCCAACTAAATACAAGAATATAATTCCTCCTATAATCCATGTTTATTTACCTTGTGAACCAAATAGTAGAATAGTATTTATATTTTATTCCTTACTTATTCAATTCCATTCATGTTGGGATTCTATTTCCTTTATTTTTGTTATGTTCTTTGAACCAAACGCCACATAGGAGTTTAGTTTAGTGGATTGTATATTAATCTTCTTTGTGAGTATCTCTAATCTTGTGTTGGAAAAATAAGTTTGGCATTATCAATTGTAATAATGATAACTTATACATCGCACTTAATTTTAAACAAACTCTTTCCATTTTCATCATTCTCCCTTGACTATATTTTCTGTTACACATTTATTTAATAGCACAATACGCGATATTCAATTAGTAATACTACGAGATTTTATTCAAGGATTGATATATGTTTGGGAGGTGAGGACTCATAGCCAAGGGGAATTGTACAAGGGAGTTACAACAGATTTGGTTTGAAGATACTGATCAAGTGCCTCCATTCCTGAATCTCTCCCAAACCCACTCATCTTGTAACCCCCATAAGGAATATCGTAATCAAACTCCAGATAACAGTTTATCCAAACAACGCCTGCTCGAATCGACCTCGAAACCGTGTTGGCAATGTTGAAATCCTTGGTCACAATGCCGGCCGCCAGTCCATATTTTGTAGCATTGGCTCTCCCTATGGCCTCCTCAACACTCCTTCATAAAACACGGTGATACGTTATGACATTGAGTTAATAATTTTGTTACATTTAGTTTTAAACTTTTAAATTAATCTTCTGTGATTCTTTAACTTTCAAATTGTTACCATTCGTGATCTAAGTAACCACACATGGTCCTTCAAGTCTTAAAACTTAACCAGCCCTGGTACTTCTATAAGTACTACGACTGGTTAAAATTTGATAGTTGAAAGACTATGAACGATTAACTTGGACTACAGATTGTAACAATTTGAAAGTCGAAAGATCACATATGATAAAAGTGACAAAATCACTATACTCGAAGGGTTCAAGATGGTATTAACTCTTATGAGACTAATAATATATTTCAAAATAAGTTTGTACTTACTTGAATTTGAGCAATGAGATGACGGGACCAAATATTTCGTCCTTGGCAATCAGCATAGAATCCTGGCCATACAATGCAAGTTAAATCATACCTAAAATGTTGGATTTTGAAGCCATAATATATATAAGATAAAATGTTGTACCTTTACATCTGAAAAGATGGTGGGCTCAATGTAATATCCCTTCTCACCACAAGGCTTGCCTCCTGTTAACAATGTGGCTCCTTCTCTCTTGCCATGCTCGATATATGACAATATTTTCTCATATTGATTTTTGTCCACCTGTAAAAATATATTAAAGTTTAGTAAAATTATGTAACTTTTTTAAAATTTATACTTCAAAAAATGGGAACAAATTAAAACGACTAAGGCCATGTTGGGTCAAATAGTTAGTCTACATGTTAATTTTGACTTATTTAACTATTATTAGTTGTTTGACTTGGTTTAAAAATCAATATAAGTGTTTGGTTAATTAGCTTTTTGTACTCCAAAATACTAAAATTTAAAAAGCTACTCAAAACAACTTTTTCAATTAGCTTTTTTTTAAAAAAAGAAATTATATCAAACAGCTATCAGCTAACAGCTAATTTACCAAACACCTTCCTACAATCAGCTAATATTATCAACTAATTATATCCTCTAATTAACTCAATCAGTTATCAGCTAACAACCATTTATCAAACAGGGTCTAAGTAAACTAGTCTAAAGATGAGGTCAAGATATAATAATATTAACACGGGTACAAATTTGATGAAGTTAAGTAGTTAACCTGGGGTCCTTGATGGGTTGAAGGATGAAAAGGATCACCAACGACCGTCATTTTCACCTTCTCTACTAGTTTCTTTGCAAATTCATCATAGATTCCTTCTTGCACGAAAATACGAGAGCTTGCAACACAAACCTCACCCTGTCAAATTAAAAACCTCAAAATAATTTTAGCAATATTCTTCAAGGTTAATACAACATTAATTAACATAGTACTAATACCTAATACCTAATACCTAATACCTAATACCTAATACCTAATACCTACCTTGTTATAAAGGCTGCCCAATACAGCAAGTCCTGTGGCCATTTCAATGTCGGCATCATCAAATATTATGAGAGGGTTCTTTCCTCCAAGCTCTAGTGTCACTTGTTTTAGATTGCTGTCTGCTGCAGCCTTCATTACTAACTTCCCAACTTCTGTTGATCCTGTAAAACTAACCTAAAACCCACCAGATAAATAAACAAACAAAATTATTCCCCAAAAAAAAAATTCTTTTTGAGTTGTGACAATTAATTAGTAGAAAGTTTAATTTAGTGTTTACTTTGTCAATGTCTATATGAGAAGCAATGGCAGCTCCAGCTGTTGGTCCAAATCCTGTTATAACATTAAGCACTCCGTCTGGGATACCAGCCTGTTTAATTTTAGATATCAAAACACCACTTCGATCAATTAAATATTTTTTGATCGTTTAGTCCTTCAAGTTGAAAATTTTAATGGTGGGAAATAAACCATTCCAATGGATGGTAATACAATCATTATTGTGTGGACCATAGACCATATTTTGTATACTGTAAAATAATGTACATTCAGTATAAAAATAATGTACATTATATTCAGGGGATGTACATTATTTTTTTACTGAGTGTACATTATATTGTATAATGTACATACAGTACAAAAATAATGTACATTTAGTATATTAAAAATGTACTTTTTGTTATGGTCCACATAACATTGTAGTTGGGGCGATGATAGTATGCCCCGCACAAGTACATTAAACTAAACATTTATTGATCGTCTTAAATTAAGGGATGCATTTAAGAAAGCGGTGAGATTAGAGCAATCTATCGTCATTCAATTCCCACCCAACTCTTAATCTTTCAAGTTGAAAAATTCAATGATTAGACTAGCATGTAGGATAGTGAACCACTCCAATAATAGTAACATTACCAAACAGGTGTTTGGAGAGCAATTAGAATGGTTACGTTGCTCCAAAGACAACCTAACTGGGAATTCTTAGATTGTGGTGTATTTAGGATAGTTGTGAAATTAGAGCAATCTACCATTCTCACCGAATCCTAAATTTATTGAAGAGTTTCATTATGTATATTTTTAAATTTTAGACCCTCACTTTTAGTTTTTAATGTGGCAAACAAAGATAAACTATTTTTATTACGTGGGCTCCAGAAAAATGTTTATATCAAGAATTTAAGAGTGAGGATAGAAAATGAGCAAAAAATGTTCATATGGTGGTGTGGATTGGACTTGTTTAGCAATCAGTGGATAGCGAATAGCAGGTTTGACCGTACCGGTGTATTGTATTAGCTGTTTGTAAAAAAAGTTAGATAAAATTAGTAGTTTACTATTAGCGATTGAGGTGTAAAAAGACATATTAGAGCATTGCAACAACAACAACAACAACAACAACAACAATAATAATAATAATAATAATAATAATATATCACTATTATTATTGTTAACAATTATTGTTGTTATTGTTAATGTTGAAAAAAAAAATAATACAATACAAAGGGGAGTCAATTGGTTCTCCTCTGTGTTGTCCCACATCGATGGGAAAACACAAAGAGGCTTTGAGGCTCCTCTATAAAAGGAGCCTAAAGGTCCCTTAATTTCTCCTTCTCATGTAATGTTGTCCAACATCGAATATTCAAATGGGAAGGAGAAACAAGCCTCAAGTCTTAAGTCTCCTCAATAAATGGGGAAACTTAAAGCCAGACTAACAATTAAATTTTTTTTTTCTTTAACCTCAAAATGCCAAACTCAAACACTATTATTTGTTGCGTTTGCGTTTCTGAACGATGGATCTGCCATTTATCAAACAAGGTCAAATTTTACCACTTAAAAATAATAACATTAATATTATGAATTAGATATTTAG